CGCGGGTCTCATGCCGCGGTCCGTCCCATCTGTGGGACCCCGGGGGGGGGGGGGAGAAAAAACCTTGTTTTTTGTGTTTTTTGCCGGGTGGGGGAAAAAAAGAGTTAAACCCCCCAAACCCCCCCCCCCCCCCCCCGCTCTCCCACAGATGGGACGGACCGCGGCATGAGACCCGCGCTCCTTGCTCTCTTTTAGGGGACGTGGCGGGAGCGAAGGGTCTGACACGCCTTCAGCGGTGACAGATGACAACACGTGGCGCCCATGTGTAACAGGCAGGCACTCGTCTGGAGTGATATTTTTGTCGCGGTGAGATGACACGTCGGGAGGGGCAGACTGATGACTAAATGCATGCATGCCTGGGGTAGGTCCTCATCTGCTGGAAAAAAGGGGACAGTGTCACCTTTCTAAGAAAGTTGACTGGCTACAATCAGCCACACACACACACATACAAAAAACTCAGCCGTTTTTAGAGCCGTTATCCATATTCCTAACATAATAAACTTGTCTGAAATAACGCCTTTTAAGTTACTTGTTCTGGTTTTATAAATAAATGTAAGAATCTAGATTAAAAAGAAGACAGAATTAAATTAACAGGTGTGCCACCCTGCCTGAACCAATGTCTAAAAATATTTTACAGTGATAAATATTTAAGTTAAATGTGATAACATGGGATATTTCAGATACATAATTAAAGGGACATGGGATTAGAGAAATAGGCTGTAATAAAAACGTTTTCATTGAGATCCATGCGTGGGTTAGCATTCTGTGGCTAAAGCTCAGTACCAGTGACATGTCTGGCGAGCTTGTGGACGTTCGGTGGAGTGTGGGAGGCAAGGTGGGGGTGTTCTGTCTGTTCCAGACACCCTGACAGCAGTAATAGAGTTGATTGATTATGGCCACTAGTTTACAGCCCATATTGATTTCATTTGCCCTGACATCCCCCCCCCCCCCACTGTAGCCTTGTACAAGTCCAAGAGATACTGGACTTGAACCTGGTTACCGCTGACAGACATTTGCATACAGCTGTAAAATCCTTCTCATCTTTTTTTTTAACCAGCCCCCCGCCCCCCTCTTTGTGCAATATGCCCTCCGAGTCTCAAGGTAAGCAGGCGACTCTGGGCGCGACGCATTTTTCATCACCCCCGGCATCCGCATTATAGCGCAGCAGAAATATTAATGAGCAGTTTGCACTGGGTGCATAATCAATGGCCGCCCCAGTGACATTAAAGCCCCCCCCACGGCCCCCGCAGCCCCCGTCTCACAGTCACGGCGAGGTCATGACACTAATATACTTGGGGCGTTTGTGGGTATTGGGTCAGAGGTGACGGAATTAAGTCTGGGCGATGAGGGGCCTGATCACAGTCAGATAAAGGAACCAATTAAGTCAGATTGTCATAGATTTTACCCCCCCCCGCACCACCACCAGATGTAGTGGTAGCTTCTTATTTTAAACATTTGTATACACATAGGAAAGATATTCCGGATTTTTTTAAACGTGGAATTTAATAATTGAGTCTGCTTCAGTATTCGTGTGTTAGCTAAGATGAGAGCGGTATGAGAGATGGAGTTCTGTCCTGAATATACTAACATCTTATGCATTTGCTTGACACGCTGGTCTAAGCTAAAGACAAACGGGGTCTAGTAATATCCAATTAAACAGCTGTAGTTGAATTGCTAGAGACAATTAATATGTTAAACAGACCTGTTGGGGGGGAAAAAAATCTTTTGGAGAAAAACTGGAAGTTGCTGACTGGAAATATGAGGGTTATATTGGGAAGGTGGCGACAGTGTGGTGAAGGAGAGAGCAACAGACTGGATCCAGTCACAGGAAACTGGTTTGCATGAGATGCGAATTAGCTTGAAGTATTTTGGCGTATCTATAGCGCGTGATGTTGTCGGGCTTTGACGTGTTGCATGTCGAATGACGTGAGGAGGGTGGTATCTGAGAGCGGGCACGCGTGCAGACAGGTTAACTCAGTACACTTTCGGGAGGGGGGGGGCAGTAAGAGAGGGTCACACCCAGGATCTGTGCAACGCGGCGGCTGGAGTCAACGGAAGCAGACAGTCAGAAATAGGGTTGGGGGGGGGGGGTCTGCCTTGTGTCCTTGTTGTCATCGACTGCATGCGGTGGGGGTTTGGTGGGGAGGGGTCACAGCAGGTACTGGCAGCAGTGGGAGTGTGGGTGGCGCACACACTGAGATGGAGCTGATGAGGATGATGATGATGAGATCGGCAATGGGGGGTGGGGTTTGGGGTGACACCCCCTCCGGCCATACCCCCCCCCCACCCAATGCTTACCCTACCTCCGCCTTTGATTCATCAGCCAGTCTGATTTCCCACAGAAATGGACGAGGAGCGTTCAGCCCACAGCAGCCGGGGTGGGGGGTGGGTGGGTTTAAAAAGACAGTGCATCCGTATTTCCAATAACATGGAGTCGAGTGGCTTCTTAGTGCCCCCCCATCGCCAACCCCTTTGCTCCATACCTCACAAACCCCCCCGTACCCCCCCCCATATGCGCTGCTCTCACCAACCCCTCCCCTGAGGAGTCGAAGTCCACCGGA